TTAAAAGCCGAAAGGCTGACGCTTCAGGCATGGTACTCGGATGCAAACTCTGTCAACAGGCATCTAGACCTACCCGCAGCTTACAACAACTTGCGCTATAATGTGGAAAAAAGACAAAACAAGGCCAAATCAGACGCGAGAATGGCAAGCGAAGAGGACCCCACAACGAACTAGCTGGAAGAGGAGGTAGGGTTACCTGGACCCTCTACCGGGTGACAAGGAGCCACACTAATTGCTGTTCATTACCCCCTGCTCCACTGACGTCTTATTAGCGTGCACAACTAAAATTGCCACCCCGACTCCACTGACAGCTAATTGCCTTCCTCCCCCATCGTTTTTGATAACTGTTTCTAACACCTTGACAACTTAATGATTTCTGACAGTTGATTGGCCAATGGCCACTATAGTTACCTTCTTTTGTGGTTGCTTTCTCATATCTGAAGATGGACTCCTGTAAACGTTTGAAAGCTCAGGACAATAAATCAATTAATCCAGTGAAGTATAGGAGACGTACGTCCTTAAAAACAGCTTTCTTTGGATCAGAAAATAATACTGCCTCTGTTATACGGCTTCCAAATCAACGGATGTCGGATGGCCTATGTGTGCAAATGGTCTTCCGGAAGTTTATTTAAATATTTTTACGCGCGTTTTTCTGTGTTGTTAAAGACGTGTCAAAAATGACACTGAGGAAAAACGTGTGCACAAGCAATCCTATATTCAAGCTGTTCCTATGCATTTTACAAAAGTATCAGGACTTTGAGCCGTTTGACTTGTACATATACATTTATATCTACGGACTGGTTTTGCGGATAAATGTCTTTTTATGTAGTTTGTAAACACGTGCAGTAACTGGTTATTAGAATTTAAAAGGATTTTTGAATATTTATATTTTAGATAAATTTGTTATTGTAACAGGTATAAGCCACAACTACACTTTCTGAAAATTGGCCCAGTAATAAATAACAATCTTATAATCTAATTCTATGCCTGGGGTTTTAAATAGATCTCATGTTAAAATTTGGTCGTCTTGCGCAAGTTTATGAATTTTCTATCGCAATAACCCATGAAATTTCGTCATGGAAAACTGACAAGTTGCAATGATATACATGGAATTTTGCCTTTTTAAGACTTATTTTAGATGCCGACTTCCGCTTTTTGTTTTAAGGAAAAAAACAGAATTTTTTTAAGGTAAAAGCGATATTTCCCTGTTGCTATGTACTGTCAACAACCTTCGTCTATGTTGCGCCTTTTGCTGCAAAATAAAAAAAAACTGCCACAGAAATGGGAACAGTGTACATCAATTTCCCTTGAAAGCCGGAAAATCGAATTTTGCGTCGATTAGCTCGAAGAAATCGCATTATTTTCGACAAAAAATACACGCGGAATGGAATCATGTTTTGCAATAAAACACAGTTGCAATAAAACTGTCCGACTGTATCTTGATTTATTGCGCTGGCGTAACAAATATCCCGACCCTGCTGCCAATTTTCGCAGTCATTCGCAGCGATAAACAGGTCAAGGCAATTTCTGTTGGCGGACGACTTTAAACGCATAATAAACTAGTGGCTTGTTGAATTAGTAGTCAGTGAATATACTACTTTTAGTAGGATAATACTTTGGGGAGTTATCGATGGTTAGACAGGGCCTAAAAGTAAGAGAGGGGGGAATCCAAATTTTCAAAAAGGAAATAAGCAAGCAAAATCGGATCCCCATAAACCAAAAAATATGAATATATTTCTCAGAAGATAAATTGGTGAAGCTACGTTTATTTTGATAAATTCTCGTCAGGCCTTTACATTCATAGGATAATTTACTAACTTAACTATGTGAGTTGGTTGAAAAAAGTAGTGTGTTTTTCTGAGTGGATAGTTTATTTAGTTAATTACCGTATAAATGTAAGGGCCTGATGAGAATTTATCAAAACAAACGTATCTTACTCAATTTATTTTTTGAGGAAATACGGCCTTCTTCGGCGATAAAGGCTGCCAAATATCGTGATTTAAGTAGGAAACTAGTTAGAGGACTACTTTTTTTAAATTTCCCGAAGAGCATATCTATCAGAGCCCTGCGATGTGCGGTCGTTTTTTTAGACATCCCACTGTATATTTGACCACGGTGGCTGGGTATTGGAAGGACTACAAATCAGAATACGCTGTTTCACTAGCAAGTTGCAGGAATTACTGAAGCCTGATGATTTGGATGGTCAGGCGACAGCCGACTCAGTCAAAAACGGCATTTATATCGACTTTGTGAAGGATGCCTTTCATCGCCGTTGTTGATAGCTCAAGTGCATAAGATAATCAAGACTTTATTTCAATTTAAG